CAAAATCCTTCCTCCTTGTCTGCAGAAACCCCTTAGCCACAAGCCTTGACTTGTAGCGGGTTAGCGCCCCATCAGGTCCGTACTTGTGCCTGAAAATCAGCTTGGAAGAAATGGCCTTCTTCCCAGGTGGCAGTTCACACAACTCCCACGTCTCGTCTCCAGCAGAGAGTCATACTCCTCCTTCACACTCTGCTTTCAGTTTTCAGCATGTGGCCCTCTCAATGCCTCAGCTAGCGTCTTGGGCTCAGGGATGGCTGCCCAGTAGCAGTGTGCTATCTCCTCCTCATCACACTGCTCAGCCATACTCCCAGCCCGTAGCACCTTTGGCTTGCCAAAGCTCGGATAGGTCATTCGGGTAGGAGGGCCCACATCCCTCCTAGGACGGTTAGCCGGATGTGCGGCACCTTGTCGAGCACCTTGCTGCTGCTGGTGCGGCTGCTGCTGCTCCTGCTGCTGTTGCTCCTCCACCTCAGGTTCTCCCCCATCCTCAGTCACCCCAAAAATCTCCTCCTCTGAGACAGTGACCTGCACTTGCCTCGAAGGCCGCTGCATCTCATCGACCTCAATGATCAGTGATGTAGTAGGAAGCTTCTGCTGCTGCTGCTTCCACTCCTTATAGTACAAGGACTCAAGGAACTTCACATCCCTCAATACAGTTAGCTGCTGGCTGGTCAAGTCCCAAATCAGCCAGCCCTTGTGATCCTTAGCAAGCCCCAAGTGCACACCCCATCTCTTAGAAGCTTCCAGTTTTTCCCTCTTCTCCTTAGGCACATGAAACACCACCATGCAGCCGAAGGCTCTCAGCATGTTGACTGCTGGTGCACTCCAATACCACTTGGTGTAGGGGACCCACTACTTGTCCCCCACAGTCGCCAGCACCCTGTTCTTCACAAGGGCGACCTGCCGCAGTGCAGTCACCCAAAACGGATCCGGCAGCCCTGCACGCCCAAGAAGAGTGCGAGCACCTTCCTGCAGGGTCCGGTTGAACCGCTCAGCCATGTCGTTCTGCTGAGGGTTGTAGGGCACTGTGAGCTGATGCTGGATCCCCTTCTTCTTCAGCACCGCCTCAAAATAAGCACCAATAAACTCTCCCCCATTGTCTGTGCGGACCACCTCCACCTTGTGTCTGCTCTCCCTTTGAGCTCTTGGCATCCACTCCTTAAGAACAGCTGCTGCCACCTCCCCCTTAGTCTTCAGAGGGTCTACCCACACCGCACGCGTGTGGTCATCCACAATGGTCAAGAAGTAGCGGCTGCCCGAGAGAGTAGGGGCCCTCGTGGGGCCCACCTTGTCCATGTGCACAAGTGCAAGTGGAGCCTTGGCTGGTCCCGTTCTGCTACTGAAGGGAAACTTCGTGAACTTGGTCTCAAGGCATGTAGGGCAGCTCCCAATCTCCTTTGCTGCCCCCCTCACCTCCAACCCCTTCAAGCTCCCATCCTTCACTAACTTCTGGAGCATAGGAATGTTGATGTGACACAACCTCTCGTGCCACGTCTCCCAATCGGCATCACCATTCCCAGATGAAGCCTTTGCCCATGTAGCGGTTGCATCCACACCAGCAAGCACTCACCATGTGGCTGCTGTGACTGCTGCACCTTCTTGACTGCATCCAGGGCCCCACCAATTGGTGCAATCTCCTCTCCTCCCACAGTTGTTTTAGTCGTTGCAGCTGCCGCTGCCGTTGCTGGTGGTTTCCCATTCCAAGGAATGATGGGCAGCTGCCAGAGGGTTTTGATGCAGCTGCTCTTCTCCTCCAAGTCCCATAGCAGCAAATTCCCAAGCTTTGCACGGCAGCTGGTTGGGCCGAAAGTCACTTTGGCCTTGCTTTTCTGCAGCCGGCGCACAGAGAGGAGGTTAGCGGACAAACCTTCAACCAACAACACATTCTCCCATTACCTTGGCATTCCCCACACCAATCACAGGGAGCAAAGCACCTGAAGCAGCAGCCTCAAACTTGATCTTCCCAGGGGGTTTCACCTCGTCAAGCAAATCTGCCCGTGGGGTCATGTGACTTGTACAACCTGAATCGATTACCCAGTGAGTGAGGGGATGCATCACAACCTTCCCAACTGAACCCACATCATCCCCACTCCCTTGCACATCCTCGACCATGAGGAATATCCCCGGGTCGGCTTTACCTTGTGCACCATCTTCTTGTACACCTGAACCTTGCACAGCGCCACCTTGTGCACGTTCACCACTTGGCGGCTTCATGCCTGGGGGTGCCGATCCCTCAGGCCAGCTAAAACACTTGAACCACGGGTGTCTGCCTTTTTGCAGTACCAGCAAGCTCCCTCCATTCGGGTGCTCCCCTTGCCTCCAGAGCTCCCATGCCCCTCGTTGTAGTCACCTCGGCCTTTCCCTCCGCCAAAGCCTCTCCCACGGCCTCGGCCTCTCCCTCCCCCTCTTCCTCTGCTGCCTCCTGCAGCTCCATATCCCTCGGCAGTTTTGTTGGCAGCCCCACCTCCCGTGTGGCGCCTGCGGAAGCCCTCCTGCAAGATCTGCTGCCGTAGCCACTAAGGCGTCCACTTGTCCTGCTGAGCGTTGAGGGTGGGGATGAGGTTGTCCCATGAGTTGTCGAGCACCGAGATGATCTTGGTGCACTGCTGCATTTTCGACACCTTGCTGCCCGCCGCTGCCATCCTCGCATACGTGTCCTTGATTTTGTCAAGGACCGGCTTCACATCGTCTCCCGATCGCATGGAGAGGGCAGCCAGCTCTTTCTCCAATATAATCACCATCGGCAGCGTGTTGGGTTGAACCACGTCGCGTAGTAGCTTCGACGCCTTCGGTTCTGAGTCATCGAGCTCCACCAAATCCTTGATGTGCCGGGACATGTCGTTGTTGACCGACTGGAGGATGAGGTTGTACTGCACCGCACTCTTCTCAATCCACCGATCGCGGGCATCTTCTTTCCCCGGCATCTTCTCCTCTCCCATTGCAATTTTCAGCAGCTTGTAGCGCTTGAAGGTGCTCCGCATCCGCCCGCTCCATTCCTCATATTTGGAGCCATCTAAAGCTTCAATCTTGGATGGTGGCGGCTCACTCCTCTTCTCAGCTGCATCTCCACTCCCTTCATTCATCTCCTCTGCTCCCAATCAGAGGTTTCAGCTCCGCCCTTTGCTGGTCACAATGTAGATCCACACAATCTTCACAAGTGTCGGCGCCAACGAAATTTCGGCAGAGTTTCCCTTTAGCAGAAGTCACATCCAACCTCCAGAACTCCACTTAGGCACGCCTACAGGCCATGGTGGGTCTAGGAGGGTCTTCACACTTCAGTAGACTTTCCACAAGGTCCTTGATCAGCTCTGATGCCACTTGTTAGGAACTAAGGACGGAGTCTATGAAGATTAGGAGCCGAAATATCACAAAATTGCTGGTCTCAATTTCTGGACAGAATAGTCGCGCTCACAAGAAACGCCGTCGACAAAAAACGCACTGTCAAATCTTCACCAATTTCGGATATGTTGTAGCTTCATTCCGTGGCTACAAGTCCCAAGTTGATTCGTACAAAAAAAAGAAGTATTTTTCGAGTTATGAATTTCGGCGCACTAGGGGGTAAGCTGCCATAGAATCTTAACTCAATCACAATTGTCTCACAATTTCACACAAGAAAGTTGGAGTAGCAATTAACCAGATGGGAGGGAAGAGGAGGACGAGAGGGAAGGTCCCCAAGGAGTCCCCAACCAATGAAACCCAATAAGCACACCAAATCCTTTCCTTATAAGAACCCCACTTTTACTTTTGTCACTTTCCAACCCATGCCATCCACCTTGCCCAACTTGGCCACACTTGCAAACCTGGTTTGGCTCCTCCCAACCACTTGGCACCATCTACACTGATGTTGACGAATTTCCCAACCCCCAAAAGTCTATACCTTTTATGGAGTCAACCTGACAACTTCCCATAGTCACCACAACCAAATATCAAAAGCATACGAACTTCCAACGTTCGTAACTTTCTTGTTCGTGCTCCGATTGAAGCGATACTTGGTTCGTCGGAAAGCTCTTGAGCAGAGGAGTCATTTCAGATATCTGCTCAAGCCAAATAACATTCACACACACTCAGAAAAACCAAACCACATCAAACACAAATTCTTGCACACGCTCACACCACACATGCAACGCACGAACATGTGATGGGAGGCAGACAGACGTGAATGCAAGTGATAGCAACACATAACAGAGGAGAGACAGGAAACACAACAAGTGGAGAGTGTCGAGGCTAAAGAATCAAGAGGAGGAGCTGCGATACACAAGACATACGCGGTTGGGGGACATGAAAGGTGGTACAGACAAGCAGCACATGCACAGTCAGTAAGACGAGCACACACAGGCAGACATGGCCGCACATGCACAGTCCAGAGAAACACAAAGCACATGCGCATGCACATGCCCATGCAGATGCAGGGACCTGTAGAGGTCGGTGGCGGTGGTGGTGGTGTGCGTCCTGGTGTACGCGGGGTCCACATAGCCCACCGTGCCTATCACCCTCGTCGACCCCATGGCTGTGCTGTCGCCCCCTCGCACGAGCCCAAAGTCAGCCACCTTGGGCTGATGGGAGGGACAGGGGAAGGGGACGAAGGGAGAGGAGGACAGGAGAATGCCACAACGGTCATGTGTTCCACTGGCAGTCATGTGTTGAACTCACCTGCATGGCGCACTCACCTGCATGGCGCACTGACCTGCATGGCGCACTGACCTGCATGTGGGCATCGAGCATGATATTGGCGGGCTTGATGTCGCGATACACGATGCCGAACGAGTGCAGATACTCCACCCCGCGCACCGCCCCCACCAGGATATCCAGCCTCTGCTGCAGGCTCAGCGGTGTGGGCGCGTCTGGGGGAAGGGCCGGACGGAGGGGGGGCACATGAGGAAAGGCAGTATCTGTAAGAGAGGCATTTAGGGACGCATTTAGAAGGCAATTCCGAGGCATAGCGGGAAGGCAAGAGAAAAGAGAAGTGCAAGACGAGGGTGCGCAGTGCAGTGCGGGGTCCATCACGCGGGTACACATGCATGAAGCAAGCCAGTCAGTGGAAGAAGCAACACTGATGCTACTGCCCTCAGTGGGACTGCTGTTGTACGCGCTGCACCTGGGCCCATCCAGCGCTCGAGGTCCCCGTTGGCAACGAACTCGTAGAGCAGCACGTTCTCCACGCGCGTGTGCACGTCACCTCCCACTGCCAACCCCAGCAGGCGCACCAAATCGGGGTGGTGCTTCGTGGCCATCTGCGCCACCTGCACAACAGAGGGTTCTAGTGGTCACGGCACTGCACCACAACCTCACTCACTGCACCGTGCTATTTCTGTACCATGTTGTATGCATTAGATTCATTCATTTTATTATCTTCTCATATACTTGATCATCATTCCTTAGTGCCACAACTTGCAAAAAAAAAATTCACAATGATATTCATGCAGTTAGTCCCACTCTCTCATCTCTTCACATGCATAAAGACCCTCTCGCTCTGTCACCACTCACCACTACTCAATCACACACACACACACCTCTCTCTTGAAGTCACTGGTGATGACTTTAGCGTGCTTCACAGCCCACAGCGTGCCATCGAGGGGCCACACCCCCTTGTACACGTCGCCGAAGCTGCCCGCACCCAGCAGGTTGGCCGTGGCCCAATCGTTGGTGGCGCGGGCGACCGTGTCGAGGGGGAACTGCTGGAATGCCGCGGAGCCATTGGGCGTGCCCACCACCCGTTCAGGTGCAGCTGCACAGGCGTTCAGGAGGGGGGGGGTGGAGGACGGGAGAGGGCATGCACATGGGTGAGGGCATGCACATGGGTGAGGGCATGCACATGGGTGAGGGCATGCACATCGGTGAGGGCATGCACATGGGTGAGGGCATGCACATGGGTGAGGGCATGCACATGGGTGAGGGCATGCACATGGGAGAGGGCATGCACATGGGTGAGGGCATGCACATGGGTGCACAGGGGTGAAGGAACGGAGGGCGGGTGGGCGGGCGGGAGGGAGGGATGGTTGGAGAGAGAGGGACTTGTTGTGCCATTCTAATCCACACTTGATTATGACAGCGCAAGAGCGAGCGCATGACAAGAGCGAGCGCATGCCAAGAGCAGCAGACAAGAGCAAGCGCATGACAAGAGCGAGCGCATGACAAGAGCGAGCGCATGACAAGAGCGAGCGCATGACAAGAGCGAGCGCATGACAAGAGCGAGCGCATGCCAAGAGCGAGCGCATGATAAGAGCAAGCGCATGCCAAGAGCGAGCGCATGACAAGAGCGAGCGCATGACAAGAGCGAGCGCATGACAAGAGCGAGCGCATGACATGAGCGAGCGCATGACAAGAGCGAGCGCATGACAAGAGCGAGCGCATGACAAGAGCGAGCGCATGACAAGAGCGAGCGCATGACAAGATCGAGCGCATGACAAGAGCGAGCGCATGACAAGAGCGAGCGCATGCCAAGAGCGAGCGCATGACAAGAGCAAGCGCATGCCAAGAGCGAGCGCATGACAAGAGCGAGAGCGAGCGCATGACAAGAGCGAGCGCATGACATGAGCGAGCTCATGACAAGAGCGAGCGCATGACAAGAGCGAGCACATAACATGAGCGAGCGCATGACAAGAGCGAGCGCATGCCAAGAGAAGAGAGAAACCTGTGGCTGCCTGGCCGCGGCGGCAGCAAGTGAGGGTCCACCAAGCTGTGGCGAGGAGGAGCAGTAGCAGCTGCAGTGCCGCCGACACGATGCCACCGATGGCTGCTGCGGACAGGCCCGCCTGGCTTGCCTGGCCCACCTGGGCGGTTGTTGTGGCGCTGACGTCCGGTGGCAGCGGCGGGGCTGGATGTTACATGCACGGTACGGCACGGCATCAGACACACACAGGCATCATACTCACGGGCGCACACACGCATCCACACACTCGCTCACACTCATTGACACTTGTATGCACGCGCACACATACACACACATGCACGCACGCACACAAGCGCAGAGATGCACGCACACATGCGCAGAGATGCACGCACACATGCGCAGAGATGCACGCACACATGCGCAGAGATGCACCCACACATGCGCAGAGATGCATGCACACATGCGCAGAGATGCATGCACATTAATCTTGATTGAGCATGATGAAGCAGGTGTGCGTGCAGAGGATACACATGAGCACTGAATCAGGCATGGGTGGTGCCGCATAGCAACTGGTCACACTTTCACTCGTATCGTATGCAGGGGCTGTTGAGGATCAAACAGGGGCAGTAGTTGGGACTCCCAACTGCTTGCTCATGCATGGGCAATCGCTGGCCTTGTAAAGCAATGGCAGGACCGCCAACTAGCATTGATTGGCATACACCGGCATTGACATGCATGACCCACCTGGAGCAGTACCAGCATGTGGGGCGGGATTGGAGCAGGTGGAGCAGAAGGAGGGGCAGTGGCGGCAGAAGGAGGAGTTGGGTGACTGAGAGACCACACAGGCGGAGGCGTCAGCGGGGCACACGAGTGACGTGCCGGACACATGGCTGCTTGGTGAGCCACGTAGAGGGGGGGCAGTGGGAAGCAGGGGGTTGAGATAGCGTGGGAACGGCCAGGGAATGAGGTCGTGAAATGAGGTGAGTGAGAGGGTGGCTGCCACACGAAGGTGAGCACCCACAAAGAAGGTGAGTTGCTGCAGGCCGCCAAGACCAGCAGGCAGTGACTCGGCAAACTTGTTGTGACTCACGTCGCTGCATGGCAGGTGAGTCAATGAAGTTGACAACGATTGGTGGTGGTGGTGGTGGTGGTGGTGGTGGTGGTGGTGGTGGTGGTGGTGGTGGTGCTGCTGCTGCTGCTGCTGCTGCTGATGATGATGATGATGATGATGATGATGATGATGATGATGATGATGATGATGATGATGATGATGATGATGATGATGACGATGGAAGCAGCAGCCAGGCAACAGAAGACTAGACACATGAGCAAAAACTCCAACCCCTGTTCGATTTGACTCGAGCCTGTTCGAGTCGAATCGAGCAGGGTGGTTTTTTATGCCCAAAATTGTTCGGGTTCAGCCCAAAGTGTTCTACGCGAACACTTTGGGTTCTTAGAAAGAATCCAGCGCATCAAACTGTGACGCGCTGCTTCGATCTAAAAGGGGGCCCCCACGATTGAGCTCATTCTTGAGCCCAATCGCCCTTAGAGTCTAAGGAGGACATTCCGCCAACTACCCGATCCCACGGTTTAAATTCCACATTTAGGCAGGAAATGTTAGTTTGAATTGAAGACGTGTTTGAGTTCGGTCGTTGCTAATGTCAACGGAAGGCCAAATACGTAAATGGCGAGGAAGGGTATCCGTGCGATTCAGAAAGGCGGGTGGTTGTTGAGGATTGTGAATGACGTTGGGACAAAGAGGCAACTCACAGGCCCTTGAGAGTGCCTACGCGTGTGATCCATACGGGCAGCGATCCACCCAGTCTGTTGTAGCCCACATCCCTGTGAGCCATGCACACACATGTGCAGACAGGCAGGCACGCAAGCAGGCACGCCAGAGGTCAAGCAGGTAATAAAACAAGCATGCAAGCAAACAGGCACAATACGTACAGGGAAGGGGAGGTGAGCACCGATGCACCATCACCATGCGTGCACGCATGCAGGCATCCAGGAAAGCAGCAGGGCTGGTGCACCTTTTGACTCAAGTTGCGAGCGACTCGCACGCAACCGTGGTTGCTGCAGTGAGAGCAGAAGCGAGTAATATTGAGAGAGTGCAGTACGGCCCGGGCCGGGATATAGAATCGGACGCCCACGCACGGTGCACTAGTGACAAGAAGCACACACGGCTGCACTGGAGGTGAGCACAGAGACTCAGACATGTGATGTGATGCTGGCCCATGCTGGCCCATGCATGCTGGAAGACGATGCTGCATTGCTCTTCATTCCTCTGACTTCACTTGCTGCACCGCCAATGCACCATCGTCCCATCCCAAGCACCAATACACACAACGGCTTGCATTTCCGTGGCTCATGCTGGCGATTGAGTCGATTCAAAGTTCCTCCTATCAAGCGCCCGCCCACACGTGGGCTGGTAGCTCCGCGCTCACAAGGATTGCAGGAGGGAGAGGCGGGAGAGCGTGCTTTAGATGGCGCCCGTCAAGGAGTTGTTGGCCAGGTTGCTGCCTCGCCATGCATGGCACGGGGGATGTTGTGGCATTGGGAACGTGGCATGGGAATGTGGCATGGAATGTGGCATGGGGAATGTCATCAGCAAACATTCGAACAACTCTTCAATTAGACTCGAACATGTTCGAACCGAACCGAACAGTTTGTCGTTTTTCCCAAATAGTTTGGGAGGAACACCCAAGTGTTCGTCCCGAACACGTTCGAGTGTTCGATTGTTTACAAGCACAAAAACACTCGAACTCCTAGGTGTTTTAGTTCGCAAAGTGTTTGTCAGGAACACTTAGGGTTTGAGACCAGCACGCCAGATTTTGAGGGGAGAGGGTCGAGAAGCAGTGGTGAGCAGAACAGGCGCCACCAGAGTTGGCGCTGAAGGGAGAGGGGTTCGACGAGGGGGATTAGGAGGAGAATGTTGCTGTGGCAGGAGGAGGGGGGGTTGGGGGAATTGTACGAGGACGTGATGGGCTCTCAGGTTTAGTTTTGCATGTCCTTGACTTGAACTTGCCATTTACATGTTGCCCATTGACTTATTCATCCACCATTTTTTATACCTTGAGTGCACAGCATTGTTGATCTTCACTCTTGTCTTTCATTACATTGTGATATTGCTTGCGCGGCCTGGATTTTTTACCTGCCCTGAATGTGACTATACTGAAAGTACCCCCCAAGGCAAACTGTTCGAGTTCAAGTCAAACACCCAGTGTTCGGCCTTGCCTCAAAACTGCTCAACCCTATACTCGAACAGGGAACACTAACATTTAGGTAAACTGTTCGAGTCAAACATGTTCGCTTTGCTCGTTGCTCATGTCTAGAATGTGGTATGGGGAATGTGGCATGAGAAGCATGAAAGTGCAGTATGGGGAATGTGGCACGGAGAAAGTGCCATGTGTTGGATGCACGTCATTCTGAGTGCATGTCATCCTAACGTCCTGCCGAGTGCTCGTGCTATTTGTGCTTGCATGATTTGCCTGAGCATATGTCATTGTGCATGGCTGTTGGATTATACAATCTCTGTGTTATTCTCCAAGTCTAAATGTTTGATCATGCAGGAGAAATCCAGAGCTTTCCAACGATACCAAGATCGCCTTATTCCGACCAAGATCGCCCAAGTTACAAGATTTCCAAGACTTGGATTTCTTATTACATTTTGGGGTTATATCTAATTTGGGTGATTACTTGGGACATGACTATAAAGGAATCTTTGGTTGGGTGGTTAGGAAGGCAACTTTGACTTTTGGATTGGGGTGGCTGTGTTGGGTGCAAATTCACATTGCACGACATCCTGCCGTCTGTTTGTACGAGTATGCGTGTGCGAATGCATTTGCGTGTGAATGGTATGGTCGTGTGTTTGTTTGCTTTCGCAATTTTCGCTTGAAGCATTTGCAGGTACTCGCACAATGTGCGCTTCGGCATAACATTGTACGCGCTATGAACAGTACAAGCAGAAAGGACGAGCTCGCAAAGGAACCCAAGATGGAAGCTTTGTGGTTCGGCTTACTTGATTGCGCAGATTCAGTTCTATCCAACTCGAAATTGTACTGTTTTGTTTGGTTGACTAAAATGTAGCAGGGCAGGCACTATAGGGGTACAATTTAGGTGAAGGTTGGATGTTGTTTGTCTGTATCTGCATGCTACAGGGCCAGGGGAAACCAGCGGAACCAGCATTTGGCTGGTTGGGCAAAGACAAAACAGGTTCTGTTTTTAGGACCTGAACCTGGTTGTTGTTTTCTCAGGTTGTAAAAACAGAACCAGAGGTTGTTCACCAACCTACCACCTGCTATTTTGTCCAGCCAGGCTGGTTCTGTTGCTTGGAATTATTTGGGATCATCCCTGGTTGTTCCCAGGTTTATTCCCAAGGTCCTTGCTAGCTAGAGCTATTTATTCCTTCTCTGTTTGTACCTGAATATACTGAAATTGATTCAAGCGAATTCCTCCCTTCCTGGAATTTCGTTTCTACGCGGTGCGACGGCGGAATGCTACCCGAGTCAACGCTAGTACGCTAGCACTCCAACGCTAGGCTAACGCTATCCGAGCCATAACTTCGTAATGGCAAAACTTTTCGCGAGGCAACTTGGCTTATTTTAAAGCTCTTAGAGTGAGCTTCGATATAGTAAATTCTTAGCTTAATCCGATCAACGGTCTGCACGATACGCTGCGCGACGTTCAAGGTACCCTTGCTGTTTTGACTAAGTCCCTCTTGATCCCTCTCTCTACAAACTCGGACCCGAGGATAGGGGCTGGTCTTGTACCAGGCACCCAAGGACCCTTGGAGGTGACCCCGAGGAGAGGTTTTTAAGTGTGATAAAGTCTTAATAGCTTGAGTTTATTAGGCCCTTA